CCATAGATGCCTGCATATAAGGAACTTCTGACCGTTTCTGTTTTTGTCTAGAAAATAACTACTTGCAATATGCTATTAAAACCAAGAGTTCTTACTCCAAACCTCATTATCTGCTAATTTGTACTGAATCCAAATTATATTACCATAAAGCATTAACTTTTTAAGATTTTGAACTGTCTAATTTGAATTTTGACCCAGTGGAGAGTCTGAGGGTATAGACTTACTCATTTTATCATTTGTGTTCAAGGGAAGATTCTGAAGCCAAAAAAAAAGACCGTAAACAGTTATGTGAAGGTGTCCCTGGGTCCCTGATGGCCTCCTGAGCTGAATGTCCTCAGTCCCCCTTGTGCCTGCCTATGTAGGACTTCCATTGAGTGCCTTATGGCTTGAGGCTGTAACCTAAACATGAATGAAGTTGAATCGGAGGCTTTTCAGCAGTGCCATTGTAAATGGTCTGATGCATAAGCTTTTTAACAAACCATTTAGATGGGAAATGGTCTGTGCTTACCCATTTTCAACTGTGAACAGGCAGGATTGCTAGGATTCTCTATAGATGACTGAATTGCAGTGTAAGGGGTGCCAGAGATTGGCACAAGACTTTTGAAAGAGGAGTCATGAGATTTGGACAATCAGGCGAGAGTAATCTATCCCCATGCCTTATGGTACCACACAGAGAGCACTCAGCATCTAAGGCTTCATCTGTCCTGCAGAAGATGTTAGCTAGATGCAGTAAAGTGACCAGACTTCCTATTCCAAAAACCTTTCAGTGAACCTCATATAATAAACAGTGGTGTTATCTAGCAACAATGTTTTGTTTTGTTTTTTAAATAGGAACTTTTCATTTCCCATAGGAGCAATTTGCTTTTAGTGCCAGGCATAAGCTTTGTATCCCTTCAGCATATGGTAAAATTGTAAGAAGCATGGTTTAAGTTTGCACTTTTAAAATAGCTTTCTGCACTATTTAGTTTTCAGAATGCCTGGATGCCTAGTTGAAAAAGTGAATTAGAATGGCATGGTGGCCTTTTCCTGTAAGTTAACAGGATCCCTTAACTAGAGGAATGGCTTGAAAATATATATGGTCCTATCTAAGAGACTTTCCAACAGTATTACAAGGACTGATCATTGCAATCTCTCTTGGCTGAGGCTCAAGTCTTAGAGAGAAACTCACTTCTAAAAACCTGGCTGCCAGCATTTGAAAATAAGAGCAATTTGACTGCTCAAACTCCAGAAAAAAACCCTTCCATCCCCATCCCAAGTAGAAATACTTTTCTCCCCCTTCCTAGTAAAATAGTGAGAGTGAGACATGAGAGAAAGAAAAGAGGGTGCTTCCAGTCACTCCTTGGAATGAAGTTTTATTTCCTTCATCTTCTCTGTGCCTTCCATCAGGAAGAATCGCTTGAGGAGTCTCAATTCTGCACAGTTCAGGGGTCAGACCCCTTCCCACCTCCACCTGCCTCCAGTCAGGGAGGACCAGTCGCCTAACTGGAGGGATCAGAAACACGAAGGCAGGGGAGAAGATTCCATAGGTGACCCTGAGAAGGACAAGGAGTGAAAGTGGAAGTAGCAGCAGACTGAGGGAGGGAGAGAGAGACTGTCCATACTCAAATCCATGGGGTTATGGCTATTGCTGAGCTTCTCACACCCTGTGCTTGGGTTCATAAGATGTTGCTGTTGGGGGTGTGGGGTGGCACTCTACAAGTTCTTTGGCCAACCACAAAAAAAGAATTTCAGAGCAGGCCATATAGTTTTAAGATAGAGTTTACCAGAGGGTGTGGGCATGCCCAGCATCTTAAGAGAAAGAATGTGCTTTTGCTTTTGACAAGAAGCTTGATAGACCTACACAAATGATTATTATGCCAAGGGGTGGACTGCAGGTGTCTGGTCCCAAGTTTCCATTACCATCTTTCCACCTTTGATGAGCTAAGGGGTGGGCTTTTCCTTGATAGGCTTTTACAGCGATTATTATGCTAACCATGAGCTAAAATGTGAGCTGGTTACCATTTTTCCACCTTTGATGGGCTTTCCTTTTGATGAGCTGAGGGAGTGGACTTTCCTGAAAGCAGGTTTGCCTTTTACAGCCATTGTAATGCTAACTATGAACTGAATGGTTGGGTTGTAGGGTCCACATTTCCGCCCACAGGGTGGTCAGGCATGGTCTGCTGATAAGAAAGGATATCTGAATGCTTCCCCTATTTTAAAACTTCCTACAAGAACATATCTATGTCTAATCTGTACTAAAATAACCTGCCTCAGGTCTGCATCTGGATGAGCTTGAACTTCATCTTGGGGGCAGGCTTTGGCTGCTGCTGCTCTGGTTGCCTCTTGGAGGCCCAGCCTGATCTTTGTTATTCGGTGTAGACAATTCAGAATGATTTTGAAACGTATCACAATGTAACGAGAAAATTGTGGTTGTATGTATAGTAGTAATAAATGTTTAAAGGTCACAAGGATTGCATTATAAAAGCTGTTTCTCAGCCCTCTAAATCTGATTTTTGAAAGTGGATATAAGTTGAAATGTACATTTTTATTAAATGTAAGTTTAATTAAATGTAAATTTACATTTAGTTTAAATGAATGAGTTCTATTACCTGGTTGGGAAATTTACTCGGAGGCTGAAATATTAATATTAGAATTTGCTTATTGAATATAAAACAAATGGAATTAAATTCACTATTTAAATGTTATCAAGCACTGATGGTTTTATGAAAGAACTCTTTCTCTGTAGGAGTATACCTGAATACACATATTTATATACTATACAAATCGGCCCTGCCTACAAATAGAAAATGACACTAAACTAGTTTCTCTAACATTATTACTGCCATCGTGGTTTGATATCATACCTCTCACCTCTGCTAATCTGTTGATATATGAGGGGGGACTCAAAAAAAAACCCCAGAATTTATTTATAAAAAATTGTATATTCTTACATGTTGAAACTTAAGTCAACTTCAAAGTACTTAAGTTTAATGGAACACACCTTATTGAGATATTTTTTCCACTGCTGAAAACAGTTTTTGAACTTGTCATTTTGATGCCCTTTGGTACTTCTGCCATTTTTTGTTTCACGTCTTCCACATCAGCAAAACGTTTTCCTCTGAGGACTTTTTTCATCCAAGGAAACAAAAAAAGTTGCTCAGGGTGAGGTCAGGTGAACAGAGAGGGTGGGACAGAGGGGTTGTGATGTTTCTAGTCAAAAACTACCTAACACTCTGTGTGGTATGGGCAGGTGTGTTGTCATGGTGGAAGAAGCAGTCACCAATTTTCCACAACATGGAATATTTCTTCCACAAATCAGGATATTTCTTCCACAAATCGTGATGCAGCCTTCTTAAAACTTCTAGATAAAAACAGATGGGTTCCTAGAACACTTTGTAGTGGGAGAAGTGTACTACAAGGGGCTTGCCCTCCAAAAGATAATTCTGTGGTTTTTTAGTCCTCCCCTCATACAAAGGTTTGGGTATAGAATAAATAATTTCTCGACAGTTTTTTGTTTGGTTAGCTTTTTTGTTTTTATGGATGTTTCTAAAATGTATTTCCTTTTGATCAAGTTACTCAGAAAACTCAGAAACACATTCTTGGAGATTGTTTACAAAGTCAATTTTTAAAAATTTCTCTTTTTAAAAGAAAAATCTATTCACTTTAGTCTCAGCAAAGACAACAAATATTATTTGACTTTTCACCTGAATAAAAAAAACTGAACATTCAGCAGATGGTCTCTCAGTGGCTATTATGTGTAAAACTCTTTAGAAGGGTAATTAGATCTGGCAGAATGCCACCTGGAAGGGAGTGTTTGGTCCCTACTGTATTGTACCAGAAGGACATTACTTAAGGCAGCTTATGGCAGTGTGACTAGAATTGATTAGAGCCCAGATTCACGTAGGAAAAATGTGATACCAGAGCAGAATCTGGAAAACAAGAGTCAAAATTAGCCAAGACGATAGGATACAGTGATGTGCACCTGTAGTCCCAGCTACTCAGGAGGCTGAGGCACCAGGATCGTCCGAGCCTATGAGTTCAAGTCCAGCCTGGGCAGCATAGCAAGAACCCATCTCAAAAATCATTAGTTAAGAAAATTGAAAGCAGAACAGCTGAGTAATTCAGAACCAGTTTCTAGAACTAAGATGATGAACCAGAGTTTCCCTAATCTTGAATGTGTTGGAATATTGTAAGTGCTTATGATATCTGGCAAATAATGGACACTTAGTAAATGTTTAAATGAATTAAATATGTTAGACTGATCAACCTTAAGCTCCTCAGAAATGCCTTTGCTAGCATATGAAACAAATATAACTATGGACTTAAATTTAAGAGAAAAGGAGGTATAAACTAAATATAATCAGCTCTTTAATACATATTAATAATTAATTTACCATCTAGTTATTAATTTTGTTCATATCAGGTAAGCAGCAATAGTTTCCAAAGGCTTAACAAAAATTATGTAAGGAAATTTTAAACTGATGAAATTCTACACTTTAAGTTCATTTTTAATGTGCAAATTGGAAAAGACAATCATTTTTTAATCTTAGTTGTAAGTATTTTGAGAAGCATGGTTTAAGAATGCTTTATTTTAGAATACAGTATGAAATTCTAATCACTAGTTTTAATATTTTTGTTTGTTTTGTTTTGTTTTTTTGAGTTGGAGTCTCACTCTGTCGCCCAGAATGGAGGGCAGTGGCCGCTCCCGGCCACCGCAGCCTCGACCTGCTGGGCTCTGGCGATCCTTCCGCCTCAGCCTTCCAAGTAGCCGGAATTACAGGCATGTGCTACCACGCCCGGCTGATTTTTTGATTTATTGTAGAGATGAGGTCTCGCTGCCCAGGCGGGTCTCGAACCCGTGGGCTCAGGCAATCCTCTCACCTCAGCCTCCCAAAGGCGCGGGATTACAGGCTGAGCCACCAAGCCCGGCTTAGTTTTAATATTTTTAACTTGAACAACCTAGTTAATGTCTGGGAATATAAAACTTACAAGGATCTGCTTTCTTCCTTACAAAAATTAAGCCTATTGAAGAGATGCGGCACACAATTGTAGATATTCTAACAATGAAGAATCAAGAAAAAGTCAATTTGGGTAAGTTTCAGGTTTTTTTTTTTTGTTTCCTTCAAGTAAGTGAATTGCAATTTTATTATGTTTCTTTGCTGAATTCATTTTATTCTTTTATCTTTTTTAACTTTTAAAGTATGTAGGTTGTTTCTTTCCTCATACTTTTGTTGAGCTGCCTCAGAGATAAAGTAGCTTTATGTAGTATAAAGAATTTTTAATTAGAAGATCTGGTTCATAGGCCAAATTTGTCAGTGTTTGAAAATTACTTTACCTGTCCAGGTCTTAATTTCCTGTCCTGGAAATGAGGCAATTTGATTAGATAATCCCTAGAGACCTTTTGCCTGTTATATTCTGTGATCTATTTATGCTCTAGAAAAACTAATTCAATAATTATTTTTTCTAAGGATGGTAGGTGGAGATGAAAAAAGAGATTCACAGGTAGTGATATAAAACATGTAAACATTTTCTAGATTTAGATAAAGGTTGTTATCTAAATTACTCTGACCTTAGGCAAAAAATTAACCCTTTCCTTATCTGTAAAGTGGGGATTTTTGGGACCATTGAATAAAATAATGTTTATTGAACAACTGTCAGTCTGTGGCATAACAAATTCATTAAACTTTAGCCGTTAATGTTAATTTGTACTTGTGTTCAGAAAAATTATTCAGTTTTTTCTATAACATATATCACCAAGTCAGCAAATATTTGAGTGCATATTATATAATTTTTTCCAGATTTTATCATCTTTTTGAATAATTTTAGCAAGAACCAAACAGCTTGAACTTTTTAAGGCTCCTGATATATGCTGCCAAATTGCTTTCCATAGTAATGATAGCATCCTTATTTTTAGTATACGAAATTAATTTGAAATGTAGAGATCTGAGTCAAGGGCTAAACTTTAAATAAAATCAAAGATACTGAAATTCTAAGTTAAGTGTGTTATATAAGTTTGTGGTTACATGTAATACCAAAAAAAAAAAAATCTGTTCACTGGAGCTAATTTGCTAATGGATATACTAATGACTATACTAATGGTTGGGCTGGAGAAAATCCTGCTTCTGTTTGCAGTATGCTTAGTTCAACAGGGATTATTTCAATTTATGGTGACTATTAATATGCACTGGGGAACTATTAGTATAATAGCATCTTAGTTGTAGAACTTATTGAAGGACCTAGAGAAGGAATGGTCAGGAAGAGAGGAGGAAACCCAGGAAAGACTAGTATGCCACAAAGAAAAGGAGGAGAAAGTTTAAGAATAACCCAGTCCTGTCTCTTATTCACAAAAAAACAGCAAAGTGGAAATTAAAATTCAAAAAAACCCAGAATTCTTTTTGTAATTCTCACTGGTTCTAGAGATTTGTGGAGAGAGAAAACCAGTATTTAATCTGATTAAGTTACTCTTCTGTCTTATTTTTCCTTAATGGAATAATGCTAGTTACTGTTTTTTAGCAGGTAGAATATTAGTCTTTAAATAGGAGTGGAAAAAAAGCTATCCATGGCTTTCTGAAATGTGTAATTATAAGTTTTAAATATAAAATCAGTTTTACAAATCAGTTACTTGTAAACAGGAGGAAAACAAGTGGTTAAAGTCATTAGGAGAAGGTAAAAAAAAGTGGGATATCTAAGACAAATAATAATAAAGACAAACACCATTTGGGTGTCTCTCGGTTACCTCAAATATCCAAACCTTAACATATCATTCTTCCCTAACCTGATACTCTTTTGGTTCCCTGTCTCAATGAGTGGCACTATCTAGTTGTCCAAGTCAGAATCTTAAAGTCCATTCACTTCTCTGTACCCTCATTCTCATCGCTCTAGTCGAGATGACTTACGGTCTCACCTGCACCACAACAGTAGTCTCCACACTTTGCTTCCTGCCTCTCTGCTCTTGCTTCTTTCCAATCCATGTTTAGCACTGCAGCCAGAATGCTCTGCTACTTACCTGCTTAGATACCTGACTCTGCCTCTTCTCTTGTCACTCTCCCCAACATCCCTAAATTTTTTTCTTTTCTTTTTTTCATTTCCTAGAGGGAGTTATACTATCTTTTCCCTCTAGGTCTCTTCAAGCCAGTCTTTGCTTTTTCTTAACCCAAATCCTAGTAATCCTTCAGACTTCAGTTCACATGTCGCTACCTTGGAGTAGCCTTCCCTGTTAACTACCCTAATATACTTCCCCCCCACACACATCCTAGGTTAGATGCATCTGTTTTGTGCTCCCTGATTATTTTCCTGTGCAATACTTGATGCCTTTGATTGGTTATTTGTCCTCTCTTTTACACTATCAACTCATGGACAAGGACCTGCCCTTGTCTGACCTTTATATCCCTAGTGCTAATGCAATGCATGGCACATATTAGGAACTTAAATATTTGTTGAATTATATTCATATCTTTCTCTCCCTTTTTCAACTTCCACTCACTAAAAAAACCATAGTCAGTTATCATGTAACAGAAACATCTCTTAGTAAAAATTCCCTAATAATTAAATCCAGAGGTCCTTTCAGCTCAATAGACTTAACAGAATGTCTCATAAGTATTTCACATCTAACGTGTTATTTTGAAATCTTTGTCTTCCCTCACTGCTTCTCCATACCCATCTTCCCTTTCTCCACCAAGGAAGAAAAGAGAAAGGCTTCCTCTGGCATCAGTGACTCCTAAGCAAGAAATTTCAGAAGAGATGCCGCCAATACATAGGCACACTCATTCAGACACAGACACGTATTCATTTGTTCATAAGTTCTGACTCAGAAATATTTTTCAGATTGGCCTCTTGCTTCCTAGCCAACTCTTAATAACTTGCTTAGGCTGTTACAACGACTTTGTCTTCTAACCATTACAGATCATTACTTTTCATTCCCTGCCATTCTAGACAATCTCTCACATTGACCAAATCTAACTGAATTTCTCTGTCCAGTGATTTTTTTTTACCAAACTCCTTGCGTGAAGCTTATTACAGTACAGTGCTTGCTGCCTATCTGAGCTTATCACCTCCTTTCACTCTCACTGTGCTCCTTACCCTGTATTATAAACATACTGGCTCTTTAATATTATCTAAATAGATAATTTCCTTTCTTGCTTATACCAAGATGGTCTTTGGTCTTACCAAGTACTCATTTTTTCAAGACCCAGCCTAACTCACTTGGGAAGCCTTCCCTATCCATCTCCCTGCACCAATAAGCAGAGTTAGTTTGTCCTTTTTGTACGTTTTAATAACCTTTAGTTCCTATTTCATTTATAGTATTTATTTCATCTTATAAGTAATCATTTTCAAGTGTCTCTTCCATGGAATGTAAACTTCTTAAGGGACAGGAATTTTATTGTTATATTAAGTAGTTGGCAGTATTATTTGCTTAGGAAAAGTAATGGTTAGGAGGTGGCAGTTTTGCTCTTTTATTTTGAAAATTTGATCAACTAATGTCTTCTGTTTTTGTTCTTAAAATTTGGCCCAAAATTTAATCTACAAATGTATTTTCTATAGGAGACAATATTAAAGAGTTTTGTGCAACCAAAGAACAAGTCGAAGAAGTCAATATCGGTGGTACAGGTGTTAATCTAGAGCCAGGAAAACTGGAAATGGAGAGTAAATATAGAGATGTGCTATTTCAAGATGGTAAAAAAGCGCAGGATGGCAAAACAAAAGGTCCAACCGATGATGTTAAAACCCCCAGTACAGAAGCTGGAGCAGGCTGCTTAATTAAATATTATGTATCTACTACGCCAAATTTGCAAAGGTAAACTTTTAAAATATTAAGTGCTGTGATTTGTTCTCATGCCTAGGGATAATAAATATGGTATTTTTAAATCTTTGTGATGGCTTCAGATTATAACTACCATTTGCTAACATAGAAAAGTTTTCGAGCAAAAGTTTTATATGATTTTACTTTAATCCCCTGGTGTTATTAGTAACAATAGTATTTGGAGTTGAGGAATTAACCAGTTCTGCAAATACTCAATTATCTGCTATGTAAAACTGTAACAACAAACAAACAAAAGTTTCTCACTCCAAGGAGCATGCAATACCTCTCCCTTTCTAAAAGACAGTCAATCACATGCTTGTAACATACAAGTTTGTATGACGAATAGCATGAAAGTGCAAAGTTAAAATGTTGTTAACATGTTTTTGAACTCTGGATAATTTTTTGTTTTTTTCAGTGTAAAAAAGAAGGTGCAATTTGATGAAGCAAATTCTTCATTTAAAGAGTTGAAGTTTTTAACACCAGTGAGACGGTCTCGTCGTCTTCAAGAGAAAACTTCTAAATTGCCAGATATGTTGAAAGACCATTATCCTTGTGTATCTTCACTGGAACAGTTAGCAGAGTTAGGATGTGACACTGATGCTTTTGTTTGTTGCCCTAATGCAGCACTGTGCCCAATGTTCTCCGAAGCTGAAGCAACAGAAGAGAAATAATGCTTGATAGGAATGTGGTTTTTATTACTCCTCGAGTGTTTGACTTTGTTTTGTGCGGATTTGGCTTGCCCCCAGGTCTCAAGTTGGCCAAGTACGTAGGCATCCTAAGTGTTCATGGGAGGGGACTCCACTAACACTCATGTTACAGCAGCAGCTGCCCTTCTGTGCCTCAGAAATAGCTTTCCTCCCTTGTCAGTCTCAGCAGATTGAGTTTTTCTTTGAGATAGATACATTTTGTTAGCGATTTTATTGTGTTCCTTGAATATAAACATGTCATCATATTAACTTGTTCACTTTGCGGAATATAAGTGCAGTATTGATGCATTGGTACAAACTAAGGTATTCTGTGCCATAACAAGATGTCTTAGAAGAAAAAAGGAAACGAAGTATTCAGGGTATAATTTATATTTTTTGCATTGACATGTTTTAAAATGTTATTATAATACCTTCCTGCTTTAAAACAGAATACTGACAATTTTTTTTTTTGCCTTTCTTTGATTAGTATGAAAGTCAAAAATTGTGGTGTATAGAGGGACTCCCTTCAGCTATTAAGGTATGAGAGGTTTAGCTTGCTTTTTCACCAAATTCCAGTTAGCAACACTGTTGTGCTCTGTTGCGTCCCTTGGATTGCCTGCGGTCCTTCACTTGTCACTTTTCGTCAGTGACCATGAGTCTGCATCTATGGTCTCTCAGCCTTTCTTTTGATTGTGACTAAGGCCGAAGGATAGTAAGAGAAGGTACTTAATATAGGAAAGAAGAGGTACCAAATTTAATGGTTATTCAAACTTAAATCTGAACTCCTTTTTGTAACTTGACTATCTAAAATGTTAAAATTTTAGCTTTCATAACTTCTATTTTTACAATTTATAAATAATTTGGCATTAGGAAAAGAATAATACTTAATAGAAGTCATTCTAGTTTGGAGAGCATTTCCAAAATAACCAGTGCTTACACTTGCTTTCTTCTTCATAATATAAAAGTTTTACTGTTGAATCATATCTCCTGAAACATGATAGTTATATACTGTAAAATTTTCTTCTCCTCACACATAAGTACCACTGATAAAATGTTTAATAAAGTTACAAACTAACACTTAAATGGCATCAATCCTTTATTAACCATACAGTTTCAAATAAGTGAAGTTTTTATTATAAAAGGTTAGTTTAAAAACTTTGTATGTAATATGAATATTAAAGATCACATATTCATTCATATATCTTTGTTCTATATGTTATCTAATGTTCTAGAGAGTAGGATTTGTATTCCTTTTTAACTGTGTACCTAATCTGTATACAATAAAAATATATAATGTTGTTCCAGTGGCATTTATTTCAACAAGTATTTTATGCAATGCAGTTTACCACAGTGAATGAATTTGAACTTTGCTTTTGAAATACATTGTGCTGAAATTTGACTTGAAGTTTCTGACACTTAAATTATTTACTTAATGATGTGTTTCCTTTTTGAAAATGATCATCAATCAATCCAAAACTTGCGTAATTTTGTTTCCATTTGAACAGAACTGTGTTCTTTAGTTGTTTTTTTCATACTTTATATAATGACCCAAAATATGCCACTTTGAAATAAACTCCAAGCTGTGATACACTCTCAGCTTTTTAATAACCATACCACATGATTCATTTGTCTATATAGTATAGCTTGAAATACCTCAGTGGAAGAGAACTCAAGATACAAACTTTTACATTTGGACAAGTTCCTTAGAGTGCCCCCCCCCCTTAACTGAGGGAAAAATCTGTCTCTGAGTGGTCCTGGTTCTAACATTTACAACCAAAGGTCTAACTTCTTTTTTGATGCCTAAGACAGCTATCATATCTCTGACCGAGGTTTGTTCCAGGCTAAAGGTCTCTCAGAATGTGATGCCAAGTATGAGCGTGCAACAGACCTACATCCCCAAATCTCAAGCCTCCTCCCTTCTCCTAAAAGTTGTATGACCCTGAAGAGGTTACTTAGTTGCATCTCAACTTTCTGAAGGGTAAAATGGAGATAATCCTCTCCAGTCATTTGTACCGTGCTACCTGCCTGCCAACCCCCCGATTGATCTGCCAGGAATGGGCACGTGACCCAAACTGCGTGTGAAAACTTTTAATAGGAATTTGAATTCATGACTCAGGACAGGACTAACTAGACAGAAAAGACAAATGATAGTATGTAAATATGAGGCACTGGGTGACCCTGTAAAGGATGGGAAACAAAGGTGGCGCCAGTCAACAGAACAATGAAGTAGCTACCCAAGGAAAATCAGAGAAATTCCTGCCTGGGATTTTCTACAGCTCCTCAGTTGTATATTACCCAAATACATTCTTGTGGTTAAATTTAATTACAGATAGAGCAAAAGTCCTACTCCAATCACTGCTCTTCTTAGCTGCAATATTATCATGGTAACCTTTTTTTCTGTATATGCACAGAACATAAAACTACATGTGTGTGTGTATAAACATACGGGGTTTGTTTTGCTTTGTTAGATATAAATACCACCATACTTCATGTATGGTTCCGTAACTTGCTTTTTTTTTTTCTAATTTACTAAGTCTTGGAGGACTTTACATTGATACAGATCAATGTAGCATTACTACTGCTTAAGAGTTGAGAAAATAAGTATGACATTTCAAAATAGCAGAGAACAAAATGGCCATGCCATTTGGGGAACAAGAAATTTCAACCTCTGCTTCACCCCACTTGCAAAAACAAATTCCAGGTGGGATAAATATTAAAAGTTCAGGAAGTATATTAGAAGGAAATGTGTCTCATGCCTGTAATCCCAACATTTTTGGAAGCTAAGGCAGGAGAATCACTTGAGGCCCAGAGTGTCACTGTAGAGCAAGACCCTTTCTCTAAAAAATAAAAATAGGCCAGCATGGTGGCTTACACCTGCAACCCCAGCTACTCAGGAGGCTGGGGTGGGAGGATTGCTTGAGCCCAGTGGGTCAAGGCTGTAGTGAGCTGTGACTGTGCCACTGCCCTCCATCCTGGGCAACAGAGTGAGACCTCAACTCAAAAGTAAATAAAAAATAAGGAAATATAAGATCTGTTTTGATTCTTAGGACAGGGAGGCTTTTGTAATCAAGACAATTTTATAAAGGAATCTAATACTGAAGGATATGATAGACCTTGTGGACTTCAGCAGCAGGTTGTAGCAGCTGGACTAGTTCTATCACTGTGGTACAATCACATATGTTCATGGGCCAGACCAGCTGCGGCACCCGAGATTTCTCTAAGAAAAGTGGAAGTGAGCCTAGAATACTTTGCCCAAGTTATACAGGTTAAAGAGCAAAATAATGACTGTCAAACAATCAAGGAAGGATTCAAATTTACTACTCATGAATTTATCTGAAATGAATCCTAAATGTTTTATTCCAGTGAAATAAAATCTAGCCAGGCATGGTGGCACATGCCTATAGTCCTAGCTACTCAGGAAACTAAGGCAGGAGAATCATTTGAGGCCCGGAGTCTAAGGCTGGAGTGTGCTATGATAGCACCTGTGAATAACCATTCCAGCCTAGGCAATGTAGCAAGAACCCAGCTCTGAAAAAAATAAAAAGTAAATCTAGTATTTTTTAAGTGTTAGCCACACCAAAATAAAATATAAAAGTATAAGGAATTCTATATAATTTTAGATTGCAAAGCAGTTATGTGGAGTGGCAATCCCCAGTAATCTCAGGAGAAGTAACAAGGACAAAGAAAAGTAGAGGGTTAAAGTCAGTTCTTTTGCTAATTATCTTGTCATATTTGGGAGAAAGTTATAAAAACTCTTGGTTACTCTTATATCAATTAAGTACTAGAGGTTTAAACATTAAAAAATAAGGCCAGGGACAGTTGCTTATGCTTGTAATCCCAGGAGTTTGGGAGGCCAAGGCATGAGGATCGCCTGAGCCCAGGAAGTCGAGGCCGTGGTGAGCCGTGATCATACTACTGCACTCCAGCCTGTGCCACACTGTGAGACTCCAACTCAAATATACATGTTATATATATACATATACTCAAATAAATATGCAAATGTTCATAACAGCATTGTTCATATTAGCTAAAAATCAGCAACAACCCAAAAGTCCCATCAACTGGTGAAGGAAAAAGCATTGTGTGTTATAGCCAATGGAAAGCAATGAAAAGAATCAAACTACTGATAAACATAACATGTAGATGAATCTCAAAGACATACTAAGTGGAAGTAGCCAAATAAAAATGTACATGCCATTACCATTCTATTTGTATGAAATTTCAGATAAGATAAAATTGCATTGACAAAGTATGTCTGGTTGCCTAGGGCCAAGGGTTAAGGGATTGTCTGCAAACATACTTAAGAGAACTTTTTGGAGTGATGGAAATGCTCTGTGTCTTGATAGCTGTCACACAGCTATATACACTTCAAACTCCTCAAAGTATACACTTAAAGTGGGTGAATTGCATTGTATGTAAATTATACCTCAAAAAGTATACACTTATCTTTAAAAAGATAAGGGTAAAAGTACTTAAAGAATAAAAATCGATATGCATCTTCAACCTTTGTGGGGAAGTAGGGGTGAATAGGTTTTCAGCTCCAAGGGTAGACAGATGTCTGAGGAGCCCCAGCTAATTCAGCCCCCAGCCTTCAAGCTGTCCCAGCTAATGCTAAGTGGAACTGTTCTTCAGGTCTGACTAGTTCTCTTCCTTTCCCTCAGTGTTTCAGAAGCACAGCAGTTTCTTACCTGCTTAAAACCTGTCTTTATAGCATCCTTATATCTATACACAGGGCATGGCTTCTAGGGAAACCCTATGTTAAGATCTAATTCACTTAACATATAAGAGGGAACTTAAGAAATTAAGACAGTCTTGTTTCTCCATCAACAAGACTTGGAATTTTAAACTATCATCTCATTAGGACTCAGGAAAATTAACTTTGAGATTCAAAGATTGTTGGGCATCATGTCAGTTTAAGATTTTGAACATATTTGTCGTAGTATCTACATGTTGTCTTACCATGACAGAAACCTGGCACTGTCGTCAGTTACTACTTCTGTACCACAAACCACAAAGCCCAGAAGTGAGGTCTGCAATTGTCAACCATGTTATTAACACTCAAAGACCATTACTCTTCCACCCTCATCTTTTGAGCCTCAGAGCATCCAACTATATGGCCAATTCTCACATGACAGGCAATTTTGTACTGCATCTCCTCTCTCTACTCCCACCCCCACCTTGGACATTTTCAAAGTCTGAGTCTTTTTTGGTTGTCATGACTGCGAACAGTGGGTACTGCTGGTATCTGCTGGGTAGAGGCCAGAGACACTTGCTACTAAACATCCTACATTGTTCACACACACACACACACACACACACATCTGTCCCCAAAAGTAGAAGGAAACCTGTACAAATGTGCTAAGGTTGAGAAACCCTGAATTAGATCAGTGTCTCCACTTTCCTTGTTGATCCTTGTTGATGCCATGTAATGACTTCTCAGCCACTCCCTCACTCCTGCTTCAGCAGTTGATTCCTAGGCCACAACACAGACTTTGACATTGCCGCGAACTGTCCACATCTGAAATCTTAAGAATTTATGGTCTTGATCTCTTCCCAATGACTCTCCCGCCAGTTTCCTTTCTCCCTTGCCCCAACTATCTTATTCTTTGGCTTCATTCAGAACTCTAGTTTCTCAAATGCTTCCTTTTCTCTGTCATGACCTTCCACTGGAAATAGAAATATACTACAAGCTATGTATGTAATTTAAAGTATCCTAGTAGCTATGGTTTAAAAAGTAAAAGGAAACCAGTACAATTAATTTTCATAATACAGGCATATCTTGGAGATATTGTGGGTTTAGTTCCAGAATATCACAATACAGCAAATATCATGAAAAAGTGAGTCACATTAGTTTTTGGTTTCCCAGTGCATATAAAAGTTATGTTTATACTGTATTGTAGTCTACTAGGTGTGCGATAGCCTTATGTCTAAAAAAAGTGCATGTACCTTAATTTTAAAATACGGTATTGTTTTTAAAAATGCTAACAATTATCTGAGCCTTCAGGGAATCATAATCTATTTGCTGGTGGAGGACTTTGCCCTGATGTCGATAGCTGCTGACCACTCAGGACGGTAGTTGCTGAAGGTTGGGGTTACAGTGACAATCTGTTAAAATAAGACCACAATGAAGTTTACTGCATCAGTTGATTCTTCCTTTCATGAAAGATTTATCTGTAACACTACTGTTAGACAGCATTTTGCCTATAGTAGAACTTCTTTCAACATTTCAGTCAATACTTTCAAACTCTGCTGCTGCTTTATCAACTAATTTTATGGATTATTTGAAATCCTTTGTTATTTCAACAATGTTCACAGCATCACTTTCTTTGCTTATCCTTAAGAAAGAACACCTCATTACTTCAAGTTTTATCATGAGATTGCAGTAGTTCAGACCCCATC